TCCACGAAACTCAGATCAAGTTCAAATTTGGGTAGCGTCACTTTTACCGTTCTTCAGTTATGTCCCTTTATAACTACATGATATGCAAGCGGGGGCATCATCTTTGTCCTCATGTGGACACTATCCACATTTTTTTTTTCTTTTCTTTAGTGAATTGTTTGAAGATTTTTGTGGTAGGTTTGTTTGTTATTATATAAAAACTAATTTTCTGAATGCGATATATATTTTTTTTTCTTTTCTTTGGTAAATTTTTCGAAGAATTTTGTGGTAGGTTTGTTTGTTATTCTGTTAAAACCAATTTTCTGAATGCTTAATATAATTTTTTTGATGAAGAGAACTCCTTTAACAAGAGTGCACACACTGAAATGTCTCGCCTTCTTTACTAATCATTGATATTATGTTGATACTCCAAAATATAAAGCTTTATTACAACTGTCACATAAACTTAACATTAACCAAGAAATCTAAACATTGACCAATGAACCATGAAAATGAGGTCAGGGTCAGATGAACCATGCCAGGCAGACATGTACAGCTAACAATTCGTCCATGCAACAAATATATTTGACATATTGCTTATAGTTTAAGAAAAACCGACCAAAACACAAAAACTTAACACTGAACAATGAACCATCAAAATGAGGTCAAGGTCAAATAAAACTTGCGCGACTGACATATAGATCATAAAATATTTCCATACACCAAATATAGTTGACCTGTTGCATATAGCATGTATAGTATTAGAAAAAAAGACCAAAACTCAAAAACTTAACTTTGACCACTGAACCATGAAAATGAGGTCAAGGTCAGATGTCACTTGCCAGCTAGACATGTACACCTTACAATCATTCCATACACCAAATATAGTAGACCTATTGCATACAGTATAAGAAAAACAGACCAAAACAGACCAAAACACAAAAACTTAACTATAACCACTGAACCATGAAAATGAGGTCAAGGTCAGATGACACCTGCCAGTTGGACATGTACACCTTACAGTACTTCCATACACCGAATATACTAGACCTATTGCCTATAGTATCTGAGATATGGACTTGACCACCAAAACTTAACCTTGTTCACTGATCCATGAAATTAGGTCGAGGTCAAGTGAAAACTGTCTGACGGGCACGAGGACATTGCAAGGTACGCACATACCAAATATAGTTATCCTATTACTTATAATAAGAGAGAAATTAATATTACAAAAAATCTTAACTTTTTTTTCAAGTAGTCACTGAACCATGAAAATGAGGTCAAGGACATTGGACATGTGACTGACGGAAACTTCGTAACATGAGGCATCTATATACAAAGTATGAAGCATCCAGGTCTTCCACCTTCTAAAATATAAAGCTTTTAAGAAGTTAGCTAACGCCGCCGCCGCCTGATCACTATCCCTATGTCGAGCTTTCTGCGACAAAAGTCGCAGGCTCGACAAAAACTAAGCTTATATTGTCTATTAATAAACATATATTTAAATTTCTGATTTTGGGCCCAGTTTTCAAATTGGTCCAAATGGGGTCCATAATTAAACTGTTTGATTTCAACGTAAATTGAAAATATATAGGGTTCTTTGAAATGCTGAATCTAAACCTGTATTTATTTTCATTATAAATTAGATAATATCACATTGAGGTCCAGAGGGTCCTAAATTAAACTTTTGTTTAATTTCATCAAAAATTGGGGTTCTTTGATATGCTGATTCTAACAATATTTTAGTGATTGCATCATATCTAATTTTAGAGTATTTAGTCATCACTGGTTGTTTGTTATGATTATTGATTATATTAATTTGAGTTATTATATGAATTTTGAGTTATTTTCTTTTAAACAGAAATAAGTATTTCATAAAAAAAGTAATTCTTGGGGTTCTTTGATATGCTAATTCTTACAATAAACTTAGATTTTGAAAATTGAACCATAATGGGTAAATGTCTAATTTCAAATTTTTCAGTTCTTTGACTACATTCATTTTTGGTCATAAACCTATGCTGTGTCAAATATTCAATCACAATCCAAATTCAGAGCTGTTATAAGCTTAAATGTTGTGTTCATACTTGCTCAAATGTGCAGTGTTTGACCTCTGCAGGAAAATCCGGTTTCCTGTCACTCTGACAGCCTCTTGTTTAAAAATCTTTTTAAAATAATTTATTAACATTATCTCACAACATTGTGACATGACGACACTTTAGAAGAATCTAGAGCATCCTAGAAAATCCCCAAAATACTTGGCTATCGTACCTCACTAAATATACGCCTATATGAAGGGCTTTTAATATCAAATATATTCAGTAGTGTTTGTACAGGATGAAATCGGGAAATCTATAATAAATGATTAATGCCATGCCTGCATAGCTCCTACATTTTGTAATTAATCACTGATTTCATGACACTTAATCTGTTAATAAATTTCAATCTATGTCAACATGATTTTATACTTAACCTTTCGATCTACTCGCTCAGTCTACACGATCTATGCCAACATATTTGTATACCTAAATTTTAAGATGATGGTATAGGTTGAATAAACCTTTGTTAGTTGATAGAGACTTTCGGACTAAGATGCTGTTAGACCGAATGTGTAAATATCATTTATATGTCTGACTGGGCTACACAAGCATTCAGGACGGAACAGCTTCAATTGTGATTTCAGATTTCCTAATTAGATTTATAAACATATTCTATCATAACTATTGAAGAATTGCACGTTTGACCAGGTATACATGATGAAAACAAAACATATCAGACGACGTTCAAACGCTTTACGAATATACTCCTCGTTGTCACAATATTTACAAATCATCATATATAGTCCGAGATTGCGCAGACGCCTGACGACCTTTATACATGTTATAAGGTCATACTGAACCTTCAACAAGTCCTGATAAACAATGATAAAGGTCGTCAGATGTCAAAGCAATAACGGACACATATGACCTTGTCCAATACTACTTTGGCATCTGACGACCTTTTATTTTAACTGTTTAGGAATTAGGGCCAAAAAGGGATCAAAAACAAGCATTTTTCTTGTATCAGGATAATAAATTGAGTATAATTCTATGAATCTCTGTGAAATTATACCACAAGCTTCCATACCAAAAAAAGGAAGGTAACTTAGGTTAGGATTGATTTTGGGGGTTATGGCCCTAACCGATTAGAAAAAAGGGGCCAAAAAACAATACTTTTCTAATACTTTGTATATATTAGTTCTTGACCAATTTCAATGGGGTTTAATTCAAAGTCTTGAATTCTTGGGGCTCTTTAATATGCTAAATCTAACCATATATCTAGATTTTGGATTTGGGGCCCCGTTTTTAAATTGGTCCACTAAAAAGGTCCAAAGGGTCCAAAATTAAACTTTGTATGATTTCAACAACAATGAATTCTTGGGGTTCTTTGATATGCTAAATCTGACCGTGTATTTAGATTTTTGAGTTTGGGCCTGGTTTTCAAATTAGTCCACCAATATGAAACTTAGTTTGATTATATCAAAAATTGAATTCAAGGGTTCTTTGATCTGCGGAACCTTAACATTCGTTTTTTTTTTATTTTGGGTCCCGTTATCAAATTGGTCCACATTGAGGTCCAAAGGGTCCAAAATTTAACTTTGTGTGGTTTAATCAAAAATTGAATTCTTGGGAATCTTTGATATGATGAAACTAACAATGTATTTAAATTTTGGATATTGCACCATAAAAGGTAAATGTCCAATTTTAAATTTTCAAGTTCTTAGACCACATTCATTCTGTGTCAGAAACCTATGCTATGTCAAATATTTAATCACAATCCAAATTCAGAGCTGTATAATTGCACAATTAATAGAAATTGTAAGTAGATCCATAGTTAAAAATAAATATTGCATCGAATTCTAATTTTAGAGAAAAAAAATTAGTAATAAATATAGTTTGAAATTCACTGCTCATTATAAGATATTATGAAAATAATTAAAGATAAGTTTTATAAAAATTTTTAATGACATTGATATAATGATGAATGATATTAGAAATTTTTTTTATTCGACCGCAAAATTTGTTGCGGTCGTATAATGTTATGACGTTGTCAGCGTCGTCGTCGTCCGAAGACATTTGGTTTCCACACAATAAAATGAGTATAAGTGTATGGATCTCTATGAAATTATACCACAAGGTTCCATACCACAAAAGGAAGCTTGGAGTTGGTTTTGGGGGTAATTGACTTTATTGATTAGGAAGTAGGGGCCAAAAACAAGCATTGTTCTTGTTTCAGGACAATTACTTGAGTATAAGTCTATGAATCTTTATAAAATTGTACCACAACGTTCCATACCAAAAAAGGAAGGTTGGGATTGATTTTGGGGGTCATGGCCTAACCGATTAGAAAAAAGTGGCCAAAAACAATACTTTTCTAATACTTTGTATAAATTGCATATTTCTTGACCAATTTTAATGGGGTTTAATTCAAAGTCTTGAATTCTTGGGGTTCTTTAATATTTAACTTTGTTTGATTTCATAAAAAAATGAATTATTAGGTTTCTTTTATATGGTGAATTAAAGGTGTATTTAGATTTTTTTTATTTTTGGGCCCCATTTTCAAATTAATCACGTTAAGATGCAAAGGGTCCAAAATTTAACGTTTTTGTTTGATTTCAACAAAAATTGAATCCTTGGGGTTCTTTGATATGCTGAATTTAACTGTGTTTTAAGATTTTATACGACCGCCAAAATTTTGATTTTCTGGTTTCCGGACAATAACTTGAGTATCAGTCTATGAATCTCTATGAAATTGTACCACAAGGTTTCATATTAAAAAAAGGTTGGGATTGGTTCGGGGGTTCTGGCCCTAACCGTGGATGTTCGACCAAGCCTCGTTCGAGACATATCTTGCCTTCGGATGTTCAAATCGAGGCTCGTACGAGACATGATATCTTGTCTGCGGGTGTTCAACTAAGCCTCGTACGAAACATGATATCTTGCCTATTCAATTAGTTAAAACAAGTTATGTTTTTATCATTTCAGAGAAAGGGGATGTAGTCAATATGAAGGAACCCGTTGTCGAGACAACCGGATGGTTGTCTAAGAGAGGAAGTCATTTTAAAGTTCTGTCATTCTGTTTAATATGCACGATTGTCTATATTTATTTATACTCAAATTTGACAATCCGAACGATGGTTGTTAATGATATGATGCAGAATACTATTAATGATCTTCAAAGATGGAAAAGCAAAGTGGAAGGATGGGTGAGAGGATTTTCGGAACTTTCGCAAAATCAAAGTATTATTAGTACTGAGGGACAAGTGCAAACAGATTATGGAATAGAGAGACACAATGAGTCTAAACATTTAACCGACCCAGTGCAAACAACAACACAATCACAATTATTTACTCAACATTGGAAAAAATATAAAACACTTAAAGAACGAATCGCAGCTTTAAAAGATGCTATAATCAGGAACGAGGCTGACCCATTGTTAACTTTATTTACAACATGGCCGACTAAAGTTGACAAATTCCTTGTACATAACAGCACGATTAAAAATTGGAATTCATTATATCCATTTGTAAGATCGGTTTTCTTTACAAACGAAGAGGATTTATCGTCTAGGGTGAAATCCATGGGGTGGTCTGTCTTACCAATTGTACAATCTGCAGTCGGGATACCGATATTGAAGTACATGTACACAGATACAATGGTGAAATTTAAGTCAACGTTTTACGCCTATTCAAACGGTGATATATTATTCACTGAAGGTTTAGTTGAGACGTTAATTTCGCTTTTAAGTTCTGACCTTGACTACAATAAACCGTTAATGATAGTTGGTCAGAGAACAAACGTTCAAGATATGACAGAGGACGAAACATCATCTTTTGACAAAATCATACAAGCTTCTAAGCGAGGAAAACTGTTTACACCTTATGCAGAGGACTTCTTTATAACGAACGCTAATTACCCGTGGAAGGAGTGTGCGGAAGTCGTGATTGGCCGAAGAGCATATGACAACTGGCTTGTATTGAATGCCAGAAAACGCGACCACATAACAATTGACGGTACTAAAACTATTCTCGCAGTTCACCAAACAACGAAAGCTGGAAATTTCGAAGGGCATGGTAGACCAAACAGTAACTATAATGATAGATTGTTGGTTAAACTTTATCGTCGCGTTTATTATGGATCAGGGTTAACTTCGTGTACCTCGTACTTCACTCTACCTAGTTCTTCAGGAGAATCAAAACTCGAAAAAAGAAAGGTTCACAAAAGCTGTTTCCCATTGTAAGGGTCACGCAATGTTGTCTGCAACCCGCCACCTGACTTTGCTCTCGAACTTTTAAACTGAAGGTATAATACCAGTTTGCTCTCGAACTTTTAAACTGAAGGTATAATACCAGTTTGCTCTCAGAAACAGAATTATACCTGTTGGTTCTTCGATACGGAAGGTATACCTGTTTGCTCTCAGACATTGAAACCGAAGGTATACCTGTTTCACGATATTTTATTTCTGACGACTCTCAGGTAGCCAAATTCTTGCCAAGTATTTAAAATATCAAAGAGATATATATACTATTATACCAGTAGGTGTTTAAGTAAGTGCTAATTACATGCAATGTATGCGTCAAACATGAGATGATATTTTATCCAATTTACATGTTGATAATTTCCTCCCAGTCCATGGCGTATACAAAGTTACATACAATCAAAAATCATTAATTTTAATTTTATTGTAGTTTAAAGTGACTGATTGTGTACCTTTAGTTGATGTCTACCCTTAAGTACTTCAGTGTTTGTCTTTAGTTATATCTTATTGTGTTTGACCTTTAGGGAATTTTGTATTGATGGCAGATCCATGTTAATTATTCACAAATTTTCAATATACTCGTCGGTTTATAGAGCTCGGCATATTTTGAAAAGACTCGATTATTGAAGACTGTATTACTAGATGTCTTTATGGTATTTTATGTTGTGGGATTGCTGTCACATTGTTGAAATGCAACATATATTTTTATTCATATTCAGTTTTTCTGAAAAATGAATTTATTATTTGAAATTTTTAGTTAGCATGTTTGACCCGAGATGAATAATCATTCGATGTTTTTGTATTTTTATTTAATATTTTTGTTTATATACCCTGTTTAATTCGTATTTCTGTTATACGTTCGTGCATAATATTTACATATTCTATTTTAATGTAATTTTAATGTGACTACACCATGATTGCTATATTGGATAGTGCTGACGTCGTCCGAATGTTGGGTCCTTGAAATATTTCCGTTAGATAACTCGTCTTAGTTGACTGATCCCCCTCAAGTAAAACCACACTACTTCACACTTGAAGCCGACGGTATAACATACGGTTATTGTGGTCCTGTCGTTGAGAGACAAGATACATTTAAGAGTCTGTTTGTTATACATGAAAAACAATGTTCATCACTTATCATATCTCCATAAATGTTGGCAGTACGAGATAAAATGTTGAAACATACGAAAGAGACGGCTGCCAATTTTCGTAATTTTTGTTTTGAATTTTCATTAAGCTTTTGAATGCCGCATGCATGAAGAATATTTGGCCTTTTTCGGAATCACATTTTTTTTCTCAATATACTATCCATTAATTTATAATAATTGCTTCTTAGACAAAACACCTAAGAAGTACAATGTACTTATTATACAGTCTTATTATATATCTAGTAAATAGATAATCAGCATTGAACCAGGATATATGAATCAGCTACTCAAGTTAAAGACTGTATATTGGAAAATATCAGTTTAATAATATATAGTTAACCTGGCCAGATTAAATAATTTCCAAGTGCTATGATGTAGACGTTTAAATTTTTGAAAGTCGGGGGATTGTGTAAGGGGCTCGTTTCCAATCGGTTTGTAATTTGTTCAAAGTGTCCTCACAATGTATCATTGAAATCCATTCAGTGGTGCAGGAGTTCTCAATTTGAAAGGTACAGACATAATGCGTATAGTATGCCATCCGGGTCGGTATGAAATCATTTTATAGCCTAATTTTGCTGATAATCAATGACTATAAACGGTCTCAATAGTTGCCACCTTTTTAGTGTAAATATCATATAACACTCAATTATTTATGACGCTCTGAAGTAAGAGACATATGTTTTACTATCGAACGTAAACACAGTTATAAATTGTATCATGTTTCTAAATTTAAGACATAAATTGCACACACATTGACACATTAATTCGTCCATCTAGTTAGATGTCAAAGGTTAACAATGATTATAAACCTTCCCCGGAACCCGATATTAAAATGTCTATTTCCAAAGTTTATTACAAGATAAGTTGTAATACCCATGCAGGCAGCTGGCTTTTGTTGTTTTCAATGTAGACGCGTTGTTCTCGGTTTTAGTATAACGATATTATTAGGCTAAATATTTTACCACACTAGTTTGTGTTGTCTGTGCTTTTCTAAAAATCTAATTCACGTACTAATCAGCCACCACGGTTGCGTAAATATTGTTGACATGCATGTAACTTATAGGTAACTGATTGATCTATATGTAACTGTTTTGATCTCTAGGTAACTGTTTTGACCTGTAGGTATCTGTTGACACACATGTAAATGTAGGGAGGGGGGATAGTAGCATGCATGTATATGGGGGATAGTAACATACATGTATATAGACCCATACACGAAAAAACAGTTGTCGATCTAAGACGGTATCTTAGGTATTTTTAGTACAGATCAGCTAATCTATTTATTTGAGCATTTTTCTCTTATTCTTTTTCCTTAAAATATTTCCCATTATCACAAGGATTTAGGCGTAAAATTTCATCGTACATTAGTAATATGTTTGATATAGTTTAAAATACTCCACCCTATTATAATTGTATCGTTTTTAAAATATTTTTGAAATATATTTTATGGTTTAATATATGGTATATATAATTTTTATATACATGTATATATATCAATCAAATGTTTTAATTTTTTCAGGTAGTTTTAGTATTGCATTTTATTGGTGAATAAGTCATGTTTGTTTTTAAATGACTGTGTTAGTATTTTGAAAGACCTGTCGTCTTATTTTGTCATAATATGTATTACTGCAATTTAAGCTCTCCACGATATAGCCGTATGCGCTGTTTTAATTGTAGATTACATTATCCATGGGGAGCTTTGTGTAGCCATTTATTGTTAATGCATGAATATTTTGCTTGAAAATCAAAGACCATAAAGCATTACACATCTTGTCAAAAGTAAACTTACAAAGTATTGTGTATATTTATGTTTTGTTGAAAATAAAATTATTTACAAAAACGAAGGATCTTTTTAAATTAAAACTTTGCCCTTTTTATGCATATTATGTGTGTATTGTTAAGGAGAGGACAATTAGAGTGCATTTGTTTCTAACCCGAAATTTTATCATCGATGACTATGGTTTAGTTAACGTTAAGCTGCTATAAAAAACAAATACATCGTTTATTGAACTTTATTGTGTAGTAAGACAGAAATAGATTACATACACGCACTGTAAACAAACAGGTATAAGTGCGGGAAATAAATGACTAGGACTTTGCGAAAACAACACGTGCTCGTAATTATTTAAACGACAGATGCAGAAACAAATGTATCGTTTAAACGTCTCAACGATAAACGATCAACGACTACGCGACTATTTTGCGCGTACATCGTTTATGTGAACGATGTCAACGTTGACCAAAACATGACAGAAACAAATGGATTAAACGACTACGCGCGTAATCGTTTACATCGTTTAGGTTAGAAACAAATGCGCTCTTATTATGAGTGCTTCGATGAATGTCATCCAAATCGAACATTAAATTAATACCCAATGTGACGGGGATGAAAAATTGAAAAAAAAATGTCGGTATTTATATTTATATTAATGGTCTTGTTAAAGAAAATCATCAGTCGGCAAGGGGCCTTGTCGGAAAAATTTGTGTGGCCGGCAGCAAGGGCTTTGAGAATAAAAATTGACCTGTAAACAAATGCCGTGTTCAAGAAAAATAAAACGATCTTTCTATGGCTTTCATAAAAAAAAAAACGAGTTAATATGGGTATTCCAGATCCGATCGATTTTTGCGCAAATGTGGTTAACATTGTTACGTGGTTAACATTGGGTAACATTGCTACGTGGTTAACATTGCTACGTGGGTAACATTGCTACGTGGTTAACATTGTTACTAGGGTAACATTGCTACGTGGTTAACTGCACAAGTAAAAGCCTTTTTGTCTTGTAATAGGACGAGTTATATCTTTTACTGAAAAGATAACTGTTTCAAATCTGATTATATAGACAATTTGGGGTGTTTTCGCACTGTATTTTGATCTACAGTGCACTGTTGTATATAAATTATAAGGGGTTACAAAACAGAGTCAGCAAAAACGGCTGTCCACGTTATAAGTGTCAGTCGATCATGGCCTGTCATCTATAACGGCAACATAACCGCATTCATCTGTGCGACACTTTTATCTTGCTTATTCCAATAAAAATGTCAAAACCACCTCACTAGTCGCGTGGTAGCCATCTCGCCTCGTGTGCTGAAGGGTACGGGTTCTATCCCCGGCCGGGTCAAACCAAAGACTTTAAAAATGGTATTTGCTGCTTTTCTGCGTAGTCAAAAAAATGTGTCCGGGTAGGACTGTTACTTTGTGAACTAGCACTTGAAAAACCCGGCTCAGTGTGTCGGTCTGGTACTAAGCAAGGTTTACATTCATATCGCATTAACACATTCTTGTCCTAAATATATATATGCATTTACTGTGACTTGACTGTAAGTGTTGCTCTCCACCTATTGCAGTTAATTAAAAATTTTGACTAAATTTCAATTTGTTTTATCAAAACCAAACTGGTCAACTGGTCAGAAATTTTAACAAACTGCTGTAGAAAACCACAGTTGTGAAATTGCAAAGTGATAAAATAAAGCATACTTACAATCTTAATAGTCTTTAATTCCACTTCACTGTTTATTAGAATTTCTATACACATTCTTTTATTGTAATTGTCATTCAAAGGGTGATAGGTAGTAATTTTTAAACTGCTAAAAAATATCCAAATTTAAGTTTTTTGAATTATTTCTTCTAAAATGGTGTTTTCTATGCATGCTAGAATGTTTTCTTTAAATTAATCTGTAAACTACTTCGTGAAATGTACTTTATTAGTTTTTCGTTCATTATTTGTACATAAATTAGGCCGTTAGTTTTCTCGTTTGAATTGTTTTACATTTGTCATTTCGGGGCCTTTTATAGCTGACTATGCAGTATGGGCTTTCCTCATTGTTGAAGGCCGTACGGTGACCTAAAATTGTTAATTTCTGTTTCATTTGGTCTATTGTGGAGAGTTGTCTCATTGGCAATCATACTACATCTTATTGCTTGAACCCTTGAGGGTTCTTCATCTCTGTATGAGCTTCCTTTATAAGGAACACCAAGGATAAATCCAAGTAAAATTTTTATATCTATATACACGGTAAAAGTGTTTTCACTCGGTAAAAGATAAAATCCACTTAATATAAACACTTTCTTATACACACAGAAAATACGATATATATACACAGAATACGATCCTCAAACAAATGGCTTTCGCTTTCATCTATTGGTCTAACAATTTTTGCTTTAGACTGTCAACAAGTGTTTGATGTCAAGCCTATTGCAGAGTTCCCTAGTAGATGCTTCGATTGTATCCATCAAATTGGTGACTGTGAAAAGTTGGTTGAAGTGTCTACAGTCTAAGATAAGCCTAATTATGTCCAATTTGTTGCTGAATAATCCCGGGTTTTGGCAGCAGTATTTTGTATGAATCCCTCTTTGATCGGTTCGAAATAAGTTGTACGAGTTTTCGCTAAAAGTGAACAGTCTAGAAGAAAATGAGTAATATCTTCATCGGATAAACGACATAGTTGGCATAATGATGTTGGAGACTGATTGAATTTAGCTCTACCAAAGTTAAGGAGGAATTTTCCTGATAAGATCTGGCTTTTATAATGGCTTTTCGTATGTCGACTTTAGTTTTGTCGTGAATATTCCAAGCGGGATGATTTATTCCAATAACGAAGTGTTTTGTATCCATAGATTTAAGGTTTGTTTTGATTCAGCGTCATCCAAGAGTGTGTTGTACCAGTGGTTTTTTTACCTTCTTAGTTAAAATACACTTCCAGCTTGTTTTTAAGGGTATACTATAGTAGTCTCTTAAAGTTGGTGGAGTGGTGGCAACTGTATTGGTTGTCAAAATTAACAGACATTTGCCTGTTGATAATGTCTTGTACTTTCTGATTTTTGGACCTGCTTTTTATGCAATTCAGCTTCGATTGGGAGTTCGCCGATCACAAGGTATATTGCTGCTATACCTGTCCGCTGAGGTAGTGATTGGAGATGACGCAATGTTTTTCAATGGAATGCTACTAGCTGTGAGATGTTTGTTTTGTTTAGAGGAATAACTTCCAATCCATATAGCAATCGTGGCAGAAAATAAGTTGTAAATTTTGTAAGATGTTACAGGGTCCAATCCATTTGTCCCATCATCGGCACCCCACTTCCCATCAATGCGTATAAGGTTCTTCTTGCATGTTTTAAGCGGTTGGCTACATTAATTTCAACTTCTTTCTCCCGACATCTTGAAAAATCTAAATGAGTTGCTTCCTTTGAAAGTTTTACTGGTGTATCATACAGAGTACAGTGTGACTTTAAGTTATTATCACATTTTACAATCTTTCAGTCTTTGTTTTTGATGAATAGATCTTATAATGGTGTTGTTTTGAATATCTCTCAGCAACATTAAATATTATTTGGAGGTTGTCTCTGTTTGATTCAGTGAAGACCATATTATCAGCACAGGTGGGTGTTCCAACATATATGTTTCCCATGTTGTATCCTAGAGATGTTTAGAACTAGTGTGTAATAGCCATAATCGTATAAAGACCCATCGGTTCATTATAACGATGTTGAAAATCGACCAATGTTCAAACCTGACATCGTGAATAAACTCTGTTTTAAGATATTTCCATACTGCTATATAACTATAATCAAGAACGTTCAAATGTAGAACATAATCTTCCTTAAAAAATAACGTCCAAAATAAAACAATTTAAATAAATTTGAAAAGAACATGAAAAAATCCAGACATAGTATATATATTTTATTAGATAACAAAAGCGAATTATCTCTGAGACAGACATACAGTTTATTGACATGTATTGACAGTTGTGCGCTTTATGAGTGTTATTTAAATATTGATTTATGTCAGCACTCGTGGTATAGTGGTATCATGCATAGACTGAAGACTCTACTGATTATGAAGAAAATACGCGCGAGTTCGAACCCTTCATATGCCACTCGTTTTTGAGAGGATAAAAAATCGTAAGTTAAAAGTTTAAAGTTATAAAATAAGTTATCTTAAGTTAACGAAGTGGTCAGTGGATTCTTGAAAAATAATCTACTGTAAGAACAATAGACTGACGTCAGAGAAATGGGTTAAATTATTATAAACCTTGATATAAGAGGGTTTAGTCCTTCTGTATAGCCAAATTGAAGTTCAGTAATGTTTGCCAGATTAAGTTTTGGTAAGATGCAAAATTCAAATACCTTTCCTAAGACTGGAGTAACTGTTATCCCACGGTAACTATTAACAGAAGTAGGATCTTTGTCTTTCTTTAGTACCGGGTATAAGATTCCACTTTTATCAGGTATCGGGGGTCCTTGCTGTTTCCAAAATCCTGTTGTATAATTCAGTTAAATAGGGTGCTATTTCATTTTGTCAAAATTTCAGATGTTCTGCACTGATTCCAAATTCATCGGCGCTTTTGTTCATGTCCATTTCATCAATAGCTTTTGTGATATCGGAGGTAGTGAAGTAGTTTATAGGTATTTCATGGTCCTCAAAAAAGTTTCATCACTTCCTATTGTCATTTTTGCACACAGAGTTCGCCATATTGATTTTGATTGGGTGCACTCAGGGTCTTCGAAGAAGGCTGCAAAAGCTCTCCTCTGATCTTTAGGTAGAAAGAGAAATTGATCTTCATCTGTTTTTAAGCAGTTTGTTGCTATCTGAGAGTTGTCCTCTTGTTTCTTCTAATAAGTCTGTAGGACATCTGTGAACCTGTAGTGTTCATGATTTGGCTATGAATGGTGATTCTATCAATAGCTTGTTCTATACGTTGACGTTTTCTGAGTTTTCTCTTTTCTTGTTTTAATTCAATTTGTAAAGAGTGGCCTGATGGTTTACCTAGATCGGACCATTTTGATATAGATGGTTTTACAAATCTTTAATATTTCTAGAACTTCTTGCGAGGCTTTCCATTTTGG